TTATTGGCCCTTGGCTCAGCTGCATTGAATATGCTGATCACACAGGTTGCAGTGCTCCTAGCTTCAAAGGGCTAAGGCCTGGCCTTGAAATTTGTGCCCCCCCTCCTCCTCCTGCAGGGAGCCTAGGCTGCATTTCACAGCTTGTCTGTTCCTCACTCATAATTTGACCCTCAGCCTCCCAAGGATTTGGCCACCTTTGGATGCTCTGATGTGCAGATCCCTCCGAAGTGCTTGAGTGTAGGTTGAGTGTTATTTGTTGGGTTTTAGATGATAAGGTCATGGTTATTTCGAGGGGAGAGATGTGGGAAGATTCCTCATGCCGCCATGCTTCTGACATAACTCTTACCCTATGTCTTTTGATTGGAGTATTTAATCCATTTAAATTTAAATTAATTATTGATATGTACGTAGTTATTCCCATTTTATTATATATATTTATGTTCTTTTTTTTCCACTTCTTTTTCAAGAATTCTCTTTAACATTTCTTGTAATACTGATTCGGTGGTCACAAACTCCTTTACCTTTTCTTGTCTGGGAAGGTCTTTACCTTTCCTTCCATTTTAAATGATAGGCTTGTTAGATAGTGCAGTCCTGGTTGTAGGTTCTTGCTTTTCATCGCTTTAAATATCTCATGCCAATCCCTTCTGGCCTACAAGATTTCTGTTGAGAAATTAACTGGTAGTCATTTGGGAGCTCCCTGTAGGTAATTAACCACTTTGTCTTGCTGCTTTTTGAATTCTCTCCCTCTCTCTCTCTTTTTTTTTTTTAACCTTTGACATTTTAATTATGATGTTTCTTGTTATGGGTCTTTTTGGATTCATCTTGTTTGGGACTCTGTGTTTTCTGAGGTTGTATGTCTATTTCCTTCACCAGGTTAGGGAAATTTTCACTCCTTATTTTTTCAAATAGGTTCTCAATCCCTTGGTCTCTCTTTCTTCTTCTGGTAGCCCCCTGTGTTGCAAATGTTACAAATGTTGATACTTTTATAGAGGTCCCTTAAACTATATTCACATTTTAAATTATTTTTTCTTGTTTTCTACTGCTTTCTCTTTCAAAACACGGATTTTTTTCTTATGTTTCATCTAATCAGCTGTTGATTCTTTCTAGTATATATATATACATATATATATATTGCTTCATTTATTAAATTCTTCATTTCTGACTTAATTCTTTTTGTTTTTTATGTCCTTTTCTTATGCTTACTATCTTGTTGTTGATATCCTCACTAAGTTCCTTGAACATTTTTATAACCAGCATTTTAAACTTTATATTTGGTAGGTTGTTATCTTTCATTTTGTTTTGTTCTTATTCTGAAATTGTCTCCTGTTCTTTTATTTGGACATGTTGTTTCCTCATTTTGGCTGCCTTTCTACATTTGTCTCTATGTATTAGGTAGATCTGCTACATCTTCCAGTGTTAGATGGGTGGACTTACATAGTAGGTACCCCATAGAGCCCAGTGGCACAATTACCCTCATCACCTGAGCTTGGTGCTTCGTGAGTGTCCCTCATGTGGGTTGTGTGTGCCTTCCTCTTGTAGTTGAATGCTATTGACACACCAGTGGCTAGAATTGACCCTCAGGCCGACTGGCTGTAAGGACTGGTCACTGCCACAGCTTATGAGCTTCTGTGTGGGCACTGACCCCACAGAGCAATATTCTCCCCAGCTGCCTCCGATGCCTGCCACACCTCCTTTGGTGTGTGTTTCTCATGGGCCTAATATGTGGTGCTCTGCTGTGGTCTCAAGCTGGCCTTCCAGTGTGTTGGCACTGGTGTCTCTTGAGAGGAAGGGCTTCTGTACAAGCCAAAATCAGCTGCTGCTTGTGACAAGCACAGAGCTTTTTGGTAAGAGCTACAAAGTGATCTGTGGTTGATAGCTGCCTATGCTGGACCTGGAGGTGTGTTGGAGAGGCTAAGCTCTGAACTGAGGCTAGCTGCCACCAGTACCAAGCCTGAAGAAGCTCAACAAAATGTCTATGGCACCCTGGGACTTACTGTAGCCTGCAAGCTGCTTGTAAGGCTGAGTTGTTAAAAAAAAAAAAAAGGCTCCTGCAATACATGAATTGGCAGAGGCAAGGTCTCAGGAAGTCATTAAGGTGTGTCAAGTGATGTTAATGTTAAGGTGTATTAATGCTGATTAAATTTTGGTGTCAGTGCTGAGCCAAGGGCCATTCTGTAGAAGGCTCAGAGCACACTGAGACCACCCACCATCTGCCAGGGGCTCGTGGATCCCCAAGAGTTGTTTAAGAAAAATTGCAGTGCAGGCTGGGGCTGGCTGCCTGCCACAAAAATTCCTCAGGAAGGTGCATGAGCCTAGGCCTACTGCTTGCTGTTAAAAGAATCTCCTGTGGTGCAAGACTTGGGTGGGGCAGGGTCCCAGGATGTCACCACAGTGAAGCAAGCCAGTGCTTATTTATTTGATAATTTCTAATTGTCTTCTTACCATAGGAACCATCTTCCTTACAGATATTACTTCAATTAAAATGTGGAGTTTTACTTTTAGCAATGCACCTAAAATAAGCAATTTTAACTTCTCCAACAAAAACTTACAGTATGCAAGTCACTTACTTTTTACTTTCCAATGATATGTGGTGATCTAGCAAGGAAATACACGTGCTTATTTTTCTCTCTAAAGAGTTTTTTTGTATTGGCCATAATGACCTACATTATTCTTGCCTCTCCTAATTTTACCTAAACACTCATTCATTTCACTGGCAAATACTTTCCGTCTCCTCTTTCTCTATATACTCATTCTCTATTAGTTCCAGCTGACTACCTTCTACCCCCAAAACATTAAAACAGTACTAGTGGTTCTGCTAAATCTTGTAAATTTTTTTTGTATTTCTTATTGTTTTTAACTACTCCAAATTTTCCCAGTAGCACACACATTTCTTGACTTTGACAGGATTTTACTTTCCTTATATTCTTGTTTCTCTTGCCACTCCATCTTTATAGCCTTTGTTTACATCTTCTCATTGTACCACCTAATTGAGTATGGAATTAAACTCTATACCTAACCCACTGTTCATGCTTTCTTATGTCTTCACTATTGCATCATGAAAATGACTCCCAAATCAACATATGTATGAACTCTTAAATGCTTAGCAGTGCTGTACAAGACATATCCAACCAATTATCACGCTGACATTTCAAATTCAAAATGTCTGAAACTGAAATCAACTTCCTCTTCACATCAGCTTCTACTTTCTATCTATTCTATACCCGTCACTTTTTCAATCTTACAGGTCAGGGAACTGAAGGTATTTTAACCCATTCATCTCCTTTTCTTCTATGTATAATTTCTCACTGAGTTCTCTATTTTTTTTTCTTTCAAATCTGTCAGATTTTTTTTTTCTTCTCCATTATTTCTGCTACCCACTCTAGTGCTCATCATTTGCAGAGTCATCTTTGGATTAGTATAATAACCTCCTTATTGTCTTTCTGCCACAAGTCAGTCACCATCTATCTTGTATTCTTTCTTGCCAAATTGCTTTTCCCAAAGAATTATTTTTGTGCTTGATATGCCTGTTATTTTTGTCTATTATGCAAGAACCCTAATATGAGATTTAATATTTTTTCTTCTTTTAAAAAAATTTTCCACATTTTTCTCAAGTTAGACCATGAGAAAAATGATCTAAATAATTGAATGTCTTAATTACTTGTATTCCAATTTATTATTTTGCTGCTCTAGATTTTGTACTCTCTACTACTCTAATTCCATTATTTTTATTGTTCACATCAAAGCATTACCAGCTATAAAAAAATAGGCCCGAAAATAATCTCACTTCATTCTACTTTTGTTCTTAGATGTGCTCCAGAGACTTAGAAGGTACTAAATAGCAGAATATTATTAGCTTACCAGCAGAGGAAGATGAACAACTTCATGCTCACTCTATTGTCAAAGAATAAGAACTTTAGTGCTCACCAAGTGGTAAATAAATTTTGACAGTTGTTTACTTACATTCACTTATAGCATTAGCTTATACTGACCCTAGCACTGTCTTGTATCTATCTAGTACTATAGAATTTAATTTGAGTAAATCCAATTCTGGTAATGAGACTACAAAATTTTTATGTACCCTTTAATGAGCAGTAAAATATGCTCCAAAACCAACTGAACAAGTCTTTCTGTCCCAGAGTTCTTTGGGGGATTAATTCAGTTAAGTGACTGATGTAGAAAAATAAGTCCAGATGTGCATTATTCAACTGATTTCCAGGAACCTCTGAAGCAAGCAGAATGTTGAGGATAGAGTAGAAAATATTTCTGATCACCTGAGAGAGCTATATAAAATAAGGAAGTTCCATCCATGACTGAAACACAGTTTGGGATATAGCACGCTTGTTTGTGAGGGCATGGGATCAGATGGCAAACATTTGAGTGTTTTTGAGTATGCCTAGTTGGAGTATGGCACTAATATAAGTGGATTGTATGATTTCTTACCATTTTCATTTGTCATCAAGACCCAGATAAACATTTCTGTTTTATTTAATCTTTTCTGTGCAAAGTGAAATGCTAATAGATTAGTCATAAGGCAAGATAGGAAAAAAAAATGGAATTTAGTTCTTTTAGTTAAATTATACTTTAGTTTATAGGGAAATATCACCAAAAAATAATTTCTTGAAGACATTTAAATATGTATGATGTAGGGGTATTAGCTAGGGATTGAATTACTCTATGAAATAATTTAAATATATGTTTTGTTTTTTGGCGTATAATGATATCATTTAAAATTTTTTGTACACTTGAGTTATTGCTCATTTTATGCCTAAGTACCCTGGGTTTTAACAGCTTTGCTAGAGTTAATAAAATCATTTTAATTTTCTATTATGTAATCCAATTTAAGAGAGTTTTTTAAGGAAATAACCCAAGTTAATTCACCTAACAATCATTTCTACATTTTCTTTACTATATATGTGGCAGTTAATAACAATGTGTGTGAATGTGTGTATATTTTGTAAGACAAGGAGTATTCAAATAACAATATAAAAATGATTGAATTAGTGTTCCCTTCAGCAGCACATACACTAAAACTGGAATGATACAGAGGAGATTAGCATGGCCTCTGTGCAAGGATGACACGCAAATTTGATAAGCATTCCATATTTTGTGCCATGCCCAAGCATCTTCACACCTGGTGCTGATTAACTCAGAAGAAACACATCAAAGCAATGGCCCACCATTGCAAAAGTGGGACTTTTTTCCATATTTTGTGCCATGCCCAAGCCTCTTCATACCTGGTGCTGATTAACTCAGAAGAAACACATCAAAGCAATGGCCCATCATTGCAAAAGTGGGACTTTTCATAAAAATATTAATATAAGGCAATCTTAAATTAGTTACACCTAGATATTTATGAGCAAATATGTCGACTCATAAAACTTAAAAAAAAAAAGGTCGAATTAGCTATTTGAACATGAGTATTGTTATGCACTTACTCTACTCCTTTTAGATACTTTTTGATAGAATAAAATAGCATTGGCTGCTAAAGTACATTAAGTATTTGAAATGCAATCTGAAAAAATCATGAATATGTTACACATGAATGTAACATTTATATTTATCATAATTTTCCACTTAAAAGGTCAAATTGTTATATTTTGCAATATTATAAAGCCATTGTTTTATACAGTATCATGTGTGAGAACTTTGCCAGAGTAATTAGAATAAGATAGTGAAATTATTTTTGCTGTTCTATATTTAATGATATACATTTAAGTTGCTATTTTATTTCACCATATTAATGCTAATTGTGAGCTAGTATGTTGTAATATAAGTCAAAATGAGGCAGAAAAAAACTGAAACAATACTATATACAATTGGTTAGTTGAACACAGCAATTGCTGAAATAGATGAGAAATAATTTGTAAAGTTAGTTTGTCATTGAGATTTTTGCTAATGTATAATTGAGAGAGAAAGGGGCAGCATTTTACAATCTTGTTTCAGATTTCCCCATTTACTTTATCTTTTGAAACTTCAGTTGAGTAATTTTTCAGAATTACTTCTGCTTCACAAAGCAGAAGCACTGTTTTCTTCAAATCATCACATTGTAAGGTGTATAAATGTCGAATCACTATGTTGTACATCTGAGACTAATATAATATTGTATGCCAATTATACTTAAATAAAATATTTTTTTATATTTAAAAAATTTTGTTATGGTGACGTTGGTTAACAAAATCCAGTAAGTTTAAGGTGTACAATTCAACAGTATACCTGTTGAATTGTTTGTGTGTATATATACACACACATTGCATTGTGTGTTCACCCCCCATAGTTAGATTTCTTTCTGTCACCACATATTTGACCCATTTTACCCCATCTAGCTCCTCCCCAGCCACTGCACCTTCTGGTAACCAATAATCTAGTAGGAACTGGCAATAAAGCAAGCGACAGCAAGTGTCGTTGCTCTTTTGATTGGGGGGTTTCTTTCAAGATTGGACTGTAGTAAAGTCTTTGGTTATACGTTTCTTGATTCAAACAAGTCATTATTTGCAACAATGCATTGTTAACATTCAAAGTAATTAACAACCAGTAAAACCAGATCACCAACTACTTGGAACAGATGCTGTAAACAACCTATGTTGGTACCAGTGTGTTCTAAGAGATTATCACTGCTGCGCTCTATTAAAAATCATTGTGGAGGCAGTCCAATGACAACACATTAAACCTTTCCCATTATAGTCTTTACCTTTGACACATTCTTCATCCGCTTCCATTCTTAATGGCTTATTTCCTTCCGACATCCTGGTACTCTTCTTATTCATATCACAAATGTTTTGCCTTAGTCCAAATAGAGCAGAGACATCTTTGATTATTTTTGTCTCCTTATCTTAGTTACTTAAAATACTCTTTATATATAAGAGGATAGAGTAAAAATAAGATGAAAAACAAAAAGAGGATATAATTTAGGAATATATTGGTTATGAGAAACAGAATGCCCATTTATAATGGCTTAAATAAGAGGTATTTTTTCCCAATAATAAGAATTCAAAGAGTAAGATTCTGGTACTTGTTTAGTATCTTAATGAGATTAGGGTTTTGGATAGTTCTCTCTGTATTCCTCTTGGCTTCTCTCTTATAGCCATAATATGGTCACAATGGCTATATCAATTACATTCTCTAAACTGTACTGAAAATCAGGAAAGAGAGAGTGACATAAAACAAAATTTATTTCCCCATTCTCATCTTATACTAGGGAGAAAATGATTTGTCAAAACCGTTCAGCAAAATTCTTATATTTTATTGGTCAGAACTGGATCACATGGCCATCACTAATCTATGAATGTCATCATTTTCCCTGATATCACGGAATTTCTACCTGATACTTTGGGGAAGAAAAATGGGTAAATGCCTCTTGGATAGACAGCCAACAGTGTCCGACACAGAAAGTATGGGAGGATGTAAACACACTACCACATAATTTTATCCACTCGCTTTAATATTTCTTTTCTATTCTTAAAAATTTTTCAAAGCCTCTGAGTCAATATGTATAGTCAAAAATAGGTGGTTAAGGGAATGTTTGTTAAATACGTCTAAGTTCATGAATTTGTCAATCTACTTCAGATTTCTTTCTAGTGATTGTCTTCTAAGTTCTTAGCATTTGTTCACAACTTGATTTGTCAAGAATCAAAATTTAGATGTTGTTATGGTAGTAATGAAGGTAACTAGACGTATTTATGGTTTCTTTGGTATTATCTCTATGAGTGAAGTCTTTTAAAAATATTTGATTCAAATGTTCTAGAGAC